CGTGCGCCGTGCATTACGCTCCTACGAGAGGTGGTGGAAAGGTGTAAATTCTAATTTCAGGTGCTTTTATCCATGCAAGCAGATGTTTGTTTAGGGTTTGTAAAGGACAACACGCACGAATCTGTTTGAGACGTATTATTTAGTCATCTACGTACTTACGAGTTCATGCTATAAACTGACACTTATTTATTTATTCTTGCTATATTGCTAATAAATCTTTTATTATTTTGTATTCCTATTTACATCCGGGTCTTCTGAAGCTTTCCGTCCGTTCCACCCTTAGCAATGACACCTTTGTACTGTTTGATGCCTAGCGAGCCTACTTTTGCGATACTCCCCACGTCCCTCGCGGCCAAGTACGAACCCATTCTTGGGGATTTCCCATGAAAAGAGGGCTGTTAAACGTAGCATTCAAGAAAGGAAAGAATACACTCATAATAAACTTCATTTTTTTAACATCTTGACTTCCATAGCTCCACTCCCACTATCAACTGAAATGTCGAAGCATTGCTCGGCTCTGAGTGACCCTTGAGATTACGACCCCCCCCTCCCCAGCGGCCAAGTACGACCCCCCTATGGGTTTCGCACAACGATGCTGTACCCTGTTGCATTACCGACATACAAATGAGTCTCGAAGACCGCGTATTCACAAGTTCCGAAAAGCCCAAAATTGGATCAGTAATTTTGAGCAAATAACGTGGGACCAGTCTTACACCCCTTTACTTTTGAATGCGGAAAAAACAATCATTGATCATCATAGGAAAATGGGAAAAGCAGTACAGGATTAACATAAACAATATGGCTTGATGATCATTTTAACAATTTGAACGAGCACGACGCAGCAGGACTCGTACGCGGCGACCTACTTATCATCGACGATAGAATCGCCACACACCCGTTTTGCCTGGGAGGAGGATCTCTACCGCTGGTCCTTCGCTAGAGGGGACATTATGCAAGGACAGTACAATCCACCATACCAGTACTATATGAGACAACGTTGAAGAAGAATTCTATAACTCTGCTCAGAGAATCGTTGTGCAGGTTTCTGAAGAAGACTGTAGAACAGCACCAGAAAACGCGCCTGATGGTGAAAAAAAGTCTCGTTAAATGTGTGAGGAATAACTGACTGAACGCAGCGTATTGAAGTCAAGGATTGAAGGCAATGAGCATATAACTGGGGGCGGGCGGTTGTCGTCAACGTCATTGGTGGACATCTGAGTGGGGTGTGACTGAGCGCCCCTGTCGCAGCCCTCCCAGCAGTTCCTATGACGGTGGTAACGACCGCTTGCCTACAGCAACCGTAACCGCTGCCTTTAATTAAGCCAAAACGATAGTAATTAGCATGTCTCTTCTTAAACCATAATTATGACAATAAGAAGAAATGTAAAAAAAAGCTGAATAATTCAAAGCAAGAATAACTCACGTGTCACTTTTTTTGGTGGCGATTCCTGAAAAACAGATATGCGATATGATAAAACAGATATGATATTTACAAAGCAAGCTCAAACAAGATCAAGACTTACAGGTGGAGGTGGAGGTTTAGGTTCAGGCTTCGGTTCTGGCTCAGGCTCCGGCTCAGGCTCCGGCTCGGGCTCTGGTTCTGGTTCCGGTTCAGGCTCTGGTGATGGTTCTCGAGGCGGTGGCGTGGGAGTACGTGGTGGAGTCGGCTCGTGCGAAGGTTCAACACTGGGCACGGGGCTTGGAGGAGGACTTGGCTCCTTTTTCGGTTCTAAATGAAACAAATACAAATTTCACAGTAATAAAATGGCATAGCATTGGCGAATTTGGCGGAGGCTTCCCACATCACAGCTAGCCATTCAGTGCCCAATAAGGCTTAAAAACAAACATGCAATGAATCTATACCTGGTGACGGCGTGTTCATTGTTGGAGGCGTAGGTATCGGTGACGGTTCGCTAGGCGGCTGTTCCGGCTCCGGCTCCGGCTCCGGCTCCGGCTCCGGCTCCGGCTCCAGATCTTCGATGAGCCGCGTTGACGGTGGTGGTGGCGAGGGTGATGGTGTAGGTGATGGTGTCGGATCACTCCTCCACACTTCTAGAACACACCATGTGCGCCCACTCCATGCATCATTCTAAGTGATTGGCAAAAACAACAGAAGTCCACAATTTGGCTTGGCTCTGTATTTGGGAAGGATTTTACGTATTCATCTAGAAGTTTACTTGATTCACTGAGTACTGACAGAAAAAGGAAAAACCTACCGAAACCCGTGGATAAGATTCCCCCACCTTTTTCCTCACGCAATTTTCGCGAGAGCCGCCATGGGTCGCTTCAGGGTTCCCAAGTCCCATTTCATTCATTGGGAACAATGGGTCGGGCTGAACCAACTATGTAAAAGCTGTGAACCACTTGTGCTGTGAAGACACCTTTATCAGCAAAAGAGCTCAACAAACACACGATTGATTGAGCTTCAAAGAAGGAGGTATGCTGGTTCCACGCGGCCAGCCACACGCCGAATAATAGCCGAACGCGTTAGTTATCTGCGCCCTCTCACTTCTGAGTGTCGCTGAGCGGCTTTGGCACTGACCTGTACCTCGAAGGCGAAGCCCGCGATCATTCTCCATGACAGATAGTGACTAGAGGTTTGCATATAGATGACAAGGTGCTGAGTAACTCGACAGTGAAGAAAAAAAACAGAAAAGAACATGCCAAGTGCCCATAAACAGAACCCCATTCTGATCCCAGTTTTTAGTGCCCAATGAACTCCTTCTCCAACAGTACGCCTAATCCGCACAGCTGCGCATTACCAAGAAGTCTACGAACGTACAAATGACGATCTGCATGCTTTTTCGTTCAGCAGCTTCGTTTATCACTGAAAGACGGGCTCTGAAGGCGGGGTTCGGAGGCGAAGTCACTGGAAAAAAGGAGCCGTCACTGAACCTATATTGCGTTATAGCGTCCCTCCCTTGCAATTTTTTGTCGCGAAACCGGTACAAGGTTGTTCCTCGTGAACTACACTTCCCTACCAATGCCATATTTTCAACTTCTATACCTGATCGCGGACCGTGCCTTTAAGCATAGCGTGGACAGAATGAAGCCGTCCACGAGTATCGTCACACTCCAGCCCAGTTTCCCTGCCTCTTTGAGCTACAATGCAAAAAAAAACGATTAGTCTTGAGCGTGAAGTGGCTTTAGTACACATAGCGAGTCATCTTACTGAGACTTCACGGAACTTTTTTGGTGTTTCTTCACTTGAACACACGTTTCCAACCTGTTTTTCTTTGGCTGTGCACCTGAACACTCGTGCTTTCAGCCTCCTCCATTCGATCCGGATCCGGACAGTTTTGGAGCAACGTTTATGGATGATGGGAATCAAGGTCTGTCGTCTGATAGGGACCTTAGCAAAATATGATGTTCTTCTCAACTGCACTGAACCCTCTCATTCTCTCTCCATTGACTTCTCATCCCTTTATTTGTACATTTGATAATTATGTGTACACTGTTTCGTTCCCAAAACTCACACCTGGAACCAGCT